CAGGGCAGGACAGGGCAAAGTAAAACAGGGCAACAGGACAGGGCAGGGCAAAAAAAAGTGCCCTGTGACGGTCTCTGGTTGGTACAGAACGCAAGAAAATTTCAGTAACGAAAGGGTTAAATGACAATGAGGACAATGATGATGATGATGGTGGTGGTGAAACTTTTATAGTGATGCATAATACTGAGTTTCCAACTAGCTTATTTAAATTCATTTTTTTTTTCTCTTGGTTAAACTATTCAAAGAATGAAAGTACAGTGTTTGCATTGCGAATTGAAAAGAATCACTGAACCTTACAATATTTTACGAAAAATTAGTTTATAAAACATAAAAATTACAAAATCTTTAATTGAAAAAGAAACTTGATACGCTATTTAAAAATAAAAAACAAAACAAATAAAAAACCTCGTACAAATATTTAAATTAGCTTAGTTTCATCTAACCGTGCATAACATCGATTGGAGCAGAAAATATCTACCCTAGTCGAACATCTTGTAAGCAAGATCTTGAAATCTTGGGACCGATAAGCAAGATCTTGATAAGATCTTGAAAAGATAATTTGCATGTGAACACCTTCGTTGTATCGGATAAATCTGTACCTAAGATATTGTCAAGATCATGGAGAAAATATCGTGCACTATTATCTTCTCACAAGATCTTGAATAAAAGAGCGACATCATTAGTGTTTAGATGCTGACTAGTCAGTCATCGTTTTTTTATGCATACAGAGCCTTATATAAACAACGTGATTGAACATACGAAACATACATTTTAAAAATAATTTTTTTAAAAACTATTTCTTGAGTGTTGATCATTTGAGAAAATACTGATCTCGATCAATGATCGAGGGAGGACTACTCTGAAGCAGTCTGATGGAGATCGAGCCATCTCCAGATCAAGCAGATTCCAAAATCTGACTTGCTTCAGTTATTCGGGATAGGAATAATTAAAATGAAAATAAATTGAAAAAATGTCATAACATGCATTTACAGAAAAAATAATAAATGCGCTATATGGTAGGTTCGAATCACGCTTTCAGAATATACCATGCATTGTGTCGCAAATCACGGCACATGAATCACGTTTTATCTTAATATGTACCCAAGATCTTACATATCTGTACCTAAGATCTTACGTATCTGT